ATGCGTAGATTCGTTATTCATAGATAGTGGAATCCATAGCTCCTATAAAGAGTCAATAATATCCTCTTATGCATTATCAGTGGATTGGAAAATATGAGCGCTCAGCCATTGGACTACTCTGTGTTATCTAATGGTTTACTATTTGTAATGATACGAATAGTATTTTTCCGATAGTATGATAATGGAACATAAGATAAATGTAATCGGAAAGGTAAAACTGTAACGATACGGCGTATTTCCTACACATTGGTAACTTGTGCTATTTCCGTAAAAGATGTTCAAAGTTAATTCATGGGTGATTTATCGAGTGAATTAATTGATAAATTAATTCTAGATAAATTGGTTGAATTATTGTTTTAAGAGTTGTTTAATATAGGAAGACTATTATATGACTGTTTTGATCATGCAATTTCTCTATTGGGTTGTTTGAATCAAAACTGAGGCTCTATGCAAGTTTCCTGTATTGAAAAACTAGGAAAAACAACTTTCGTCAGTGCAGACAGGTCGACTGGTTGGGTAGACCGGTCCGGTCGACCGGTTAGTGAAGACAGGTCAACCGGTGAGTTATAACGTCTCTGTCACCGGTCGACCGATTGTAACGTAAAATGCATGCTGACGTGGGAAAATCGACTCTGGATGCGATTAGAACTTTGGGAAACCTAATTGTTACGGAAGTATGACTTCCAAAACACTATATATAGCCTATTAAGTCACATTACTCATTAGATCACTTGAGAGACTTTTTGGAGGCTATTGATAAAAGATTCCTGGGAGGAAAAATTGTTTAATTCTCAAGAACAATTTTTTTTTTCTTTGGCTCTCTTGTGATTGGAAGGAGATCAAGAATACCTAGAGGAGATTAAACGACGTGTGCCCACCCGCACACCGATTGTGGAAACGAGAATAGCAAAGAAGACCAGTTGGTTGAGGCTCTTCCGGTTGCTGTTTGGAACGCTTAGATCTGTCAGACGTGTAGTTTCCTGAAATCTCAAAAAAGGTATGTTTTAGATCTTTAGTATTTATGTTATATAGCATCATGAACATGTTCTTGTTTGGCTTTGACGTTGATTAAAATTTTTTAAATTCCGCTGCGCACTCGATGCCATTAATTTTCCAACACACCGAACTTCATCAGAGTCCCCTGTACCCTCCTCCTCCTCTTCTGGTTGCGTGGCAGCCCTTTTTGCCGCATTCAAAACATTAACGGCTGTATGTACATCCATTAACCCCTGTCCAATAGCACTAGTCTTAACAAAAATCTCTGAAAGTTGGGCAAAGTTGTGTAAACTCTATTTCTTGAATTTCTTAGCATCAAGATGTTTTTTACATTATAAAGAAAATAATAATAAATACTCATGTGCAATCCAAAACACCAATTTAACTCCTTCATATCACATAAGATGGTTATGATCAAAACTTACCGCCACATACAAATTCCACACTTCTTTTTCAGCCGTGACAGTGTTAGCCTCAGAATCCCAACCAAACCCTGTTGTTTCAATCAATGCCTGAAACTCTCTTGTACTACGTCTAAGCCTATTCCACTTTACTTTAAGCTGGTCTTGAAATGCTTACCAAACTTAAGTGCTATTTCATTATCAATTTTCATCCACGTTTTTTGTCCAAAGTGAATGAATGCAGCTCATTCTTTGACTCCTCATATATCAGTTCTACATAAAAATCTTCAATTGCAACCGGCCATTTCGTATTATCGTCCTCATAATACATCTAAAATAACACTTCCATTCATCATTGAAATAAATCACAAAACAAAATTACCACAACAGAATTCACACTTCCATTCATCATCTAAACAAGATCCATTAATACAACAAAATTACCACAAAACATAAAACTGAAAAGGTATAGATATACAATTGAAGGTTACACACACACACACGCGCGAATACATACATATTGTAAAGTAGATAAATAATGATCAACCAACAAATCCTAAAGCTTAGACAATTGCTGAACATCAAGAAACCAAATCCCAATCAAGAAAAAGATTAGATCGCTAGCTGCATAGCGTGCGCAGGGCTGCCAACGCCCCATGTTGTGCTCACAGGGGCTGCCAGCGCCCCATTGGTGCGCTCCGAGGGGCTGCTGCAGCATGCTGGGCGTCCCCAGCATGTAGCATGGTGCGCCCAGCCAGCCCAAAACGGCCCAAATGGCCTCTAAACCCCTCCAAACCATTTTTAAAAATTTTACCAATGTTTCTCCTATATTTTAACACTCTTCAAAGCTTAAAATACTTGTTATTCTCCTAAAATAAATTAATATCACAAAATAACCCTAAATTAGAAAATTATCACAAAACCACCAAAATTTTAAAATCATAACTCCCAAACCACAAGGACATTTCCAAAACGGTTTTGGAAACATTTATTCAACATATAAAGTGAGTTATCCTCAAATTTTTAGCTTCATTTGAGCTTCATAGCCTAGGTAAATAAATAAAAACCTGAATCTGGACAGCTCCAAGAAAATAAGCTTTAAACCACCATCTTCCAATTGAGTTAGCTCCAATCTTTTTTATAGGCTTCAATCTAACATATTAAAGATTTCATATCTCAAAAATCATGACCTAACTATAAATAAAACCTTCTGAATCCTAAAGCTTAGATCAGATTTCATCATCTTTCTCCTTAGATTTGCAAACATCAAGAAAAAACCAAATTATTGAAGTATTTCAATCATTTAGATCTGTAAATCAATAAAAAATACTTTGCTTTATAAATCAAAATCAAACCTAAAACACCACCCATGTTCCCTTAAAAAAAAAGAACCACCCATAATTATCTTTAATCTCTATAGCTGACCATTTATCTACTTTACAATACAAATTTTTGTTTTGCATTTGGTTTGCATTCAACAAACACTCAGGATTCTCTGTTTGATCATTATTTATGCATCACACGAATACACACACACACACACGAATACATAATGTTATTGCCAATTTGCATGCATATCATCATGTATTAAACCATAAAGCTAAGACAGGTCTTTTAAGAATTCTGTCTTCATTTTCTACTACTTATTTTTCCATTCCCATTTTCCTTAATCACTCTCAAAGTTCAATCACTCTCAAAATTCTATCACTCTCTAAGTTTAGTCAAGTAATTCATGATCTTACTTGGCAATCTGCACAATCTAGCAACTTTAAACTACTATAACTGCAGAGAAAGAAAATTGAAAACTAAGACCTAAGAGAAGTTGACAAAATACCTCTCAAAAATCAAACTTAAGTACAAACCTAAGAGAAAATTGAAAACGCATAAGGTTAAGCACTATCAATAAACAACAAACAACACAATCTCCACAAACACAAATATGAACACAACCGGCCTAAATCCCACAAATCATCAGAAAATCATAAATAATACCAACCTAAACCCTTAAATCACTAGATTAATGGGCATACCTCAGTCGATTTTGGAGAGCATGGGCAAAAATGAAACCGTCGAAAACCCTAACCAGAGAATATGAGATCTTCTCAAAAAACCTCATCGACCTTATGGCGATTCCACTGATTTTCACCACTGTTTACAAAAGAACGAGAAGCCCACCGCTTAGAAAGTGGGTGAACGGAGAAGAGGGAGACTGGAGGAGTTCAGCCCGTCGAGTATAAGGAAAGTGGGAGAAGATTCTTGCTCGATTCCACCGACAACCCAAGGCTTACAATGGAGAAGGGGGGGAGGGGAGTCGGGGAAAGAAAATAAAACGTAAGAATGAGTTGGGGGAAAATGAAAATGGGAAGGAAAACGATCCTTAATCGTTTTCAGTTTTGCTGACTTTTTGGGAATAAGTAGAAAACGTTTTCAATTTTTGTTTTTCAGGAAATGCGGTGCCAAACGCGTTTGTGAGAGCATTTTCATTTTTTAGTTCTTGAAAAATGTAAAAAATATTTTTGGAAATGATTCGAAACAGGCACAATGATTTTCATACCCACTCTCTCTAAAAAACAAGGTGTGGTTTATTTGGCTTAGACTCTGTTTATTTTATCGATTCGAGTTTAGAATTTAAGTTTTACTACCGTAAAAAGCTCTAAAGAATAGTCACATCTAATTTTTTTTATAATAAAAAGTTCTCATATAAAATTACGTTTAAACTTGAATTAAAAATTTAAATCAACAAACTAAACGGATTCTTAGAATGTCTGAAAAATGGGAACATATGAGCAACCAGAACACTGTAGATTTTAGTTAAAAACAAAATCTGAAAAATGAACGTCACTCTTTACGACTTAAACGAGAAAACGGTTTTTTTTTTTTTTTTTTTGGCCTTTATGAGAGAAAAACGGCGGCAAGCATATATACAAAAAATGAAAAAAGATATGTACTTTTTTTGTAAAACGAAGACAAACGACGATACATTTCGTTTCATCACCGTTTTTAAAATAGTAGGCAGCTTTTTGGATGAAACGACTTGTCGTTTATTTTGACCCAACCTATACTAAACACAAATGACGTGTCGTGTTAGTACATGCAAATTGACGACAAAACACAAGGCATAAGTCTCATAACCACGGTCCACATTGACATGTCCTTTATAAGGGGAAAAAAAAAGTCGCTTCTCTTTGTTTTAGGACAACGATTGTATTACTTGACTGTGATAGGTTTTTTTTTTTTTAATAAAAAAATTTTAAAATTATTTGTACACTATTTTGATGAGACTAACATGTAATTTCCAATTATCTGCTCTTAATCAATCGCCCGAAAAACTCTCTCAAATATATATCCAAAAAAAACCTTTGAAAATTCAGCAAAAATAGCTTTTAATAAATATATTTCATTAATAAATAATTTTCGTGATTTAAAAATTCAGCAAAAATAATTTTATAATAAAAAATGCAAACTAACAAAATATCAGTAATATCTTTTCTCAATTGGAAAAAAAAAAAAAAATTGCCCGACATATCATACCCTACACCCTACCGCAGGCGAATAATTCAATCCCCTGTATTTACAATTTTTACACCCTTCATAGCAGTTTCACCCTGTTTCTCTCTCTAAAATCACAACACCATCTCTCTCTCTCTCTCGATCACACCGAGACCTAGCTCCTCTTCCTTCGCTCTCTTCTCCCCCTCGTGATTTGCGCTCTGACCTTCACTTTCGCTCTCTTTACCTCTCTTGGAGCCCTAACAAAGAAACAGGCGCCCGTGTTCCTAACCCTAACTCACTGAGTTCACTTCGCCTGCCCCGCCTCGAACTCGGAAGGAAGCAGCTTCGCGGGCTCTCACACGCTCGATTGAGTCTCCCGAGGTGAGAATCGCATCTTCAATTTTTCATTCTAATGGTGCGATTTCGGAATTCGACATTTGCGTTGCGCGCTGGTTTGCCGGTTTTGCTTGACCTATATATGCGTATTGCTTTGGCTGCTCTTTTTGGTTATCGACGGAAATAGAGGAAAAGAGGGAAATAAAGTTGGTGTCTTTTTCGTTAATGACGGTGTTGGTTTAGAAATTGAATTGATTTAATAAATATTATACGAATTGCGTTGGTGAAGGTTTTAGGTAGGCGAATTGTGGTCGTAAGTGGTATAAATTCCGAGATTTGATATGTATATGAACTTTGTTAGTGAACTTAGATAGCCGTTGATTGGTGTGTCGTTATAATTTTGATTTTTTTTTAGTGCTCATTTGTTATTGGATGGAATGGATCGTGTTTCTTCGGTTTGCCAAATGTATTTAGGGTTATATGCTGATCTTTCGTGTTATTTTTAGAGCCCTTGTAACAATGCAAATGTCAAAACTTTGCATGAGCTCGAAGACGCACTTACTCTAATTTATATCTTCTTGTGCATTTTGGTTAATTCTGTATTCGTCTCTTTTCGGGTAGGTTTAGTGGGTAGCTTCTGCAAAATAAAGGTGGGATCTTGTTTGACGTTGTTATTTACTCAAAAAGGCAACATCACTTGTTGAGTTAGTGTCTATCGAACATATTTTTGAGGACTTTTTCCGTTTAGACGCTATGTTAATGTTGCCAATTATTCATGGTTTTGGCTTTTTTTTTTGGGGGGTTTCTATTTCGACGTTAATGAAGCCCATTTGCGTGCTTCCTCCCATTCTGTTTATATGAACGAACGCTTAAAGTAACATATACATCCTTAGATTTTTGAATATCCATTTATATGCAATTTGATTGATAACTGGTGGAATTGGGGCAATAGGCGAGGTTTATCAAAAAAAAAAAAAAGCGATTTGTCATAGTTGAAGTTGAGTGAATTGTAACGAACAAATTGCTCCTCTCTCTCTCTCTCTCTCTTTCTCTCTCTTTTTGGTCTGAGCTGTTAGCTTGAAGCTACTATCAAAGATTTTAAAGCATTAGATGGGGAAACTTGTCTGATGGTTATCATTGTGTCATTTACATTCAATCGATGTTTGTTACTGAATTAGAATGGCTAAATAGATGGCAAGTTTGTTGGATGTTTGTTTGTTTGTTTGTTTGTTTTTTGTTTTTTTTTGTTCTCCCATAGGTTAGAGGCTGCTGTAAAGGATGAATACACAACACGCTGTCCATTCTAGGTCATCTGCCAATGGTTTCAGCCGTCGAAGAGGTGAAAGAGAAATGGGGACCAGGATGGAGAATAAGTCACAATCTGGGAAGTCTAATTCCAGCAGCAGAATAACAAATACTGGTGAAATTATTCATTCTTTTTTTCCCATTTGGTTTTTTATTGTGAATTTTTCTTTCCTTACTAAAAGTATAGATGTCACTGACAGGCAGCAAAATTGGTGGCCAAGGGAGTCCGTCGCGCGACCGATTAGTATATATAAGTACATGTTTTATTGGTCAGCACGTGGATGTCCAAGTGAAAAATGGATCCATATATTCTGGAATATTTCATGCCACAAATGCTGAAAAAGACTTTGGTATGTTACTCTTTGGAGTTTCAATTTCACTGTCACGGATTATTTAAAGTTAAATGAGTTAGCTGACATCCTCTCTCGTGTATTTTCAATTAGCTTTGTCACATTTACCTACTTCTCATTTTTAGGCATTATATTGAAAATGGCTCGCCTGACAAAAGATGGAGTCTCCCGAGGACAGAAATCTGTTGCAGAGTCAGTTAGCAAGGCTCCTTCAAAGACTTTAATTATTCCTGCTAAAGAACTTGTGCAAGTTATAGCAAAGGTTCTTCTATATTATTAATATTCTGCCATCTGATTTATGGTTTCAAACTTTCAAGAAAGCTGTGTGTATAATAGTATGTATATTACGAAATACGAATGATGTTTTAGTGTTTGAATTAATATTATTTTTTCAAAATCTTAGGGTGCTAGTTATATTACCACTGTTTTGCTTTTTTGGATGAGATTATTTTCAATTAGTTGACATATGGCTGTTGTTGTTGGGGATGTTGGTCTTTTTGTTGTTTATTTATATTAAGTGTAGTCACAGCTGATTCATTATTAACTCAACTGTGACAGGATGTATCCATCACAAGGGATGGTTTTTTGGATGAGGTTCAACAACAGGAAATTATGATAGATTCCTTTATATCACAGTCTCGCCGTGTTGAGGTGGAGAGGGAACTAGAACCATGGGTCCCTGATGAAGATGATCCGCAACGTCCTGAGTTGGAAAATATATTTGATAACCATTGGAATAGGTTGTTATATTAACTACTTCTTTCCCAACTCTCTAGGCGATTTTTCTAAAAGGCTAATAATTTTGATTCCCGAGTGAGATACCATCTATAAGTTTATAGTTCAATTAGAAACCTGCATTTTCCTAACTAGTTTACTTATTGTGTTGTTTTTCTATTAGGGGGTGGAATCAGTTTGAAGCAAATGAAGCATTGTTTGGAGTTAAAAGCACATTTAGTGAGGAACTTTACACAACAAAACTCGAGAAAGGTCCTCAGATGCGGGAGTTGGAAAAGGAAGCTTCAAGACTAGCGAAAGAAATTGAGAACGAGGACACTCATGATCTTCATTTAGCTGAAGTGAGCCAACCTTTGTCTTGCCTAATATTTTTCTCTTTCCAAGTTCCTTTCGTTTTGGATGTTGATTTTCTTAGATACTATGCAGGAAAGAGGTCTTCAACTTGGTGAAAATTTCGATATTGATGAGGAGACTAGATTCTCTTCTGTCTATCGGGGTAAGGTAGTAGATGACAGCGGTTATGAAGAGGAGGAGGACATGATGTTGGATTCGAGTAATAATGAAACTTTTGGGGACTCCTCTACTAATGCGAGCAAAACTGCAATTGACTGGACCAATGGGAAAAGTAATGATGTTACTCGAGTGTCATCAAGCCCCTGTGCTGTGGTAGTCCCTTCATTTCTAGTCCTTGTTGAAGTTTTATGTGTTTTGAATTTTGATTAGTTTGTCCTCTTTGTTTTATTTATAGTATTATTTTTCTTTTTGTGAGATTTGGATTATGTCAAAGAGGCTGTTTACGACGTCTGTGTGTATTCTGGATGTGATCATTGTTAAGCAGTGATTCCACACAGATGACAACATTTAGCCACTGCTGGATGCTAACATCTAGGCTTTTAGGAGCGTCTGTATTGCTGGTACAGATAATGTTGCTTGATCTGAAAGAAGCTTTTAGCTTCAGAGGGACACTGCAATTGGAATTTTTTGTATCATATGGACTAAATGAACGTTCTAAAGCAAAATGAACTGCTAGGTGTGGCCAAAAGTTTTAGTTAGTTATAGTCTTGACCAGTGTTGCACAATTTCCTACGTCCTGAATTTTTATTTGTAAATGCTGAATTTAATATACAATATGTTGAGTTTTGTCTTCCTTTACTCTCAACCAATAACTCACTGTGAGGATTGTTGAGGGCTTTTGGTCCCTATGTGATTAGAAGTGTTCGTAATTGTAATTTCTTAGTTGTGTTTCCTTCTTTTTCTGCAATGGAGTCTTTATTAAATTCTTATCAATTGCTATATCCTTTTGTAGGATCAAGCACAATCTTCTCAGTCAAATGTTGGTGTCGATTTAAGTAGGTCTGGTTCTTATGATCATGCCAGGCAGCTGGCTTCAGAATCACCATTCAAAGATTCTTCCACTACAGGCGCTGAAATCAGGTATGCATATCTAATTATGATGTCTTTCATTTCTTGGACGTAACTTAAGCAACTAGCTCTTCTGACGATAACAAGTTTAAATGTCTGAAATTCTAGGATCCAGGAGAATCAACTCAGTGAACATAGGGTGATAAATGATGCTAATGAGAGTAAAGAAAAGCAAAACGTGAGTTAAACTTCCTTTGTTCTTGTTTGATTGTTTTTGTTTTTGTCTCTTCTAATATCCTTGTTTTTTTGTTTTCATTTGCATCGGAACAGCTAGTTGAGGAGATTCAATTATCAAAATCAGATGGTGAGTGCAATTTCTTCTTTGGGACAACACCGCTAGGAGAGTGAATCCGTGAAAGCGATTTGCTAGTGTGGTTTATAGTTATCAGATGAAATATAGTTACCTTGTAGTCAAAATAATTGGTTAAAACTTTGATTCTCTTCTCTCTCGCTCATAAAATTTATTTCTTGATCTTGGGAATGTAGATTCATTGTCTGGGAAGAATGATGGCTCTGATAAAGGACTATCACCTAATGCCACTTCGTATGCTCCATCTCATGTTTCATCAAATGGTAATGAGACAAATGATGGCTCTGATAAAGGACTATCGCCTAATGCCACTTCTTATGCTCCATCTCATGTTTCATCAAACGGTAATGAGAAGACGAATTCCTCTAGTGAATTAGTAGAGGGGCCAGTTTCTGGCAAAGCACATACGCAAGCTACAAATCCTCATGGACGACCTGGTAGTTCTGCATCTTCCAGTTCAGAGCGTGCGGTTCCTGCCTCTGCTTCTAGTGGTCCTGGTTTATCACCAAGCTCTTCTGTTGGTTCCTTGTCCTCGGAAAAATTGACACTAAATCCCCATGCGAAGGTGTGATTGATTTTGTTCATTCTGTCATCGGCCTACACAATCCCACCTTTCTTAATCTGCTCTGTTTTGTTAATATCTCTTCAGCACTATCTAAGACATCTGGTTGCTTCTTCCCCTTGCTTCTAATGTTAGGAATTCAAACTCAATCCAAATGCAAAGAGTTTCGTCCCATCTCAAACGCCTGTTAGGCCTCCTTCCCCAGTATCTGATGGTTCCTACTACTTTCCACCTAACATGTCTGCTGTACCACAAATTCCTGGCATGCCTGTTAGTATTGGAGTAAGTACTTTGACATGTTTTTACACTATTGTTTCTCTTTTGAATGCAACTTTTTATAATAAATGTAAACAGTGTTGATCTAAAAGTATTATATTAACGATATTTAGTTATGTTTTATTTTACTTTGCATGGTCAGTCCTCATATCTGTTGGTGATTCTTTACCTGTGAAGCAAAGGTTGTTATCACCATGCTGACCTTCCATTCCTCTTGCAGATTGCACCCTCGTTTGGACACCAGCCTGTTATGTTCAACCCCCAAGGTGGACCGCTACAAACACCACAGACGTATTTTCATCCAAATGGACCTCAGGTATGAATTTATTGTGAACTTCGCTGCGCAATCCATGTCAGACTTCTTGGATGTCGTCTCAGTAACACTATAGATTAAAATGATATCATTTATTTATACACGTGCAGTATGGGCAACAGATGCTTCTCGGTCACCCTAGGCAAGTTTTGTACATGCCAGGCTACCAACCTGTAAGCAATTTTCTTAACCTCTTCGTTCCTTTTTGGCTTGATTTTGCAAGAACATGTATTATGTCGCTGCATATTAGACGTATCTGCCTTGAAGCAGCTGATACATCAGTTCGAAGAAACTGTCAAAAAATTTTCAAAAGAAATTACCTAGTCCGTAGTTGTTGAGTGCCTTTTTTCGTATACCAGCTCATACATGATTATCTTATAGCGGTCAAGCAGATCCATATTTTCGCTTTCTTTTTTCGTCGATTTTATGATTGATTTCATCCAATTCTTGGGTTTGGTTTCGGTTTTGCAGGAAATGCCGTATAAAGGACGAGATTATTGACTTGTTTACCCCCGTGTCATTCTTGATTTTGGTTTGGTTGAGAACTGAAGAATAGTCCCCGAGAGACTTCTTGGAAAACTCACTCGAAGGAAAGTGCCCACCAGACCATAATGATCTCGTAATTGATCCTTTGTGTGCTAGAGGAAGTTCACCCGCTTATCCGGGATATAGCTTCATGGCCCCCTCCCTATGCTTTAACCAATACCATGAATCAGGATTTCCCAATTTTATGTAGTGCCTTCACATTGTCTCAATGTCAGTTTTCTTTTTCTTTTTTTTCTTTTTTTTGGTTAATTTATGCAACTTTTTTTTTTTTTTAGACACTTCTTTTTTAATGTCACTTATTTGGGTTAATGAATACATTAGTTGTATACTCTTGGTTGCTGGCTCCTGTCCCCAAGATGGTGTGGATCCGGTATTTGATGGACCTACCATCCAATTGAATGCCTTTTAATATATAAATGAACGTACTCTTAAGAACCTTTTTAAGAATCTCCTGATCTTTGGATGTATATATTTAACGAGTAAAGTAAGACATAAAAGCCTCCACCCTTTGGAAATGCAGTCATGCCTGAAAATTAAAGTACAAATCTGTATAGTTCAATTGCTTTTGGGGTCTACTCACTTGGCGTGCAAAGTTAATTGCAGTAAACAGCGATGGAAAATGATTCTTTTGCCCTTTCTAGGTTTTTAGGTAAACTTTGACTATTTGGTCATTGTACTAAGCATTATTTTAGCCGGGGAGAATATTACTGAAATTACTCTTCAGAGTACTTCAGAGTACACGAGTCTTGATTTTAAGTACGTATTTTTATTAATTATAAAGATTGTACTTCAATCAAAAGATTGAGATTACAATTAGACAACATAGGTGTTTGGCTGCTTCTTGTATTTTTCCGTTGGCTTGCTACGTGATTTAGAAGACGATTGGTTCATGGATAGAATCATGATATTAGAATCATGAGATTAGAATTATTTTTTATTTACGTGTATTTTTTAGAAAAAATATTATAGTGAATCACGAATTATAATTCAAATCGGGGTACGAATCTCTCAACCAAACAACTTCTCAGTGGATGGCTGCTTTTCCACAGCTAAAACTTTTTCCACGCGCTTCAGTATTTTCATTATTGACTGAAAACCAAAAGTTTAATAAAATTATCGACATTTTTACTAATTTCTCTCCGCTTGTGTTTTCATAAAGCTTCTTCCCGTCAACAGTAAAGAAATATATATAAAAAAAAGTAAAAATAAAATAAGATAAACAAAAGTGAAAGCATATTAATATTATTTCCCTAACTTCCTTCCAAAGTTAGTGCCTTGTGAAAGTTAAAAGGGGAATGAAAGTAAAATGACTCTATCGAAAAGCTCTTTGCCAGCGACAACTAATTAGCTTACGTTTCGTCTTTTTTTTTTTTTTTTGTATATAAAAAATTATTCTTAGGAAGCATTATTTTAAGACATTTCTACAGTGTTTGCATCACCGTACACATACGAGGTTTTTAAGCTACACAAATAAGCAAGAAAGTAGTGACGACAGAGAGAGGACAAAGGACAAATGTTCTAAAGACTCTTGATTCTTGTTCCGTGATTAGATTAGATTAAAGATTAAAGATTAAAGATTAAAGATTAAAGATTAAAGATTAAAGATTAAATATAAAAGATTAAGAGCTAAGATTAGGAATGACTTTTCTATCATTTAAATTAAATTATTGCTAACTTCACATAAAGGAAAGAAAGCACTAGCGAATAGGACACGCTGATTAGTTGTCAACTGATGGACAGCCAAATATAATAATAATCTCATTGATTAAATATTTAGTATCTAATCCATCTTGTTTGCTGATGTAGATTCTCTTTAACATTAAACTAGTTCTAGTTTATTATTGTTGGCGTTAAACAAATATATTACTTTCCAGCAAGAAAGGAAAATTAATGGTTTGAGGTTTTCTTTAATGCCTTTGTGATAATTGGTAAGTTGTCTTTATGCAAAAAAAAAAAAAAAAAAGAAAAGAAAATGATACTGGGTTGGCATTGATAAAATGATATCTTCACTTTAAATACATCTTATTATTGATTTTTTTTTTTTTTTGGTTTTCTTTTGCTTGAAGCAGTCCACTGAGTTGAGATTTTTTTTTCCTTTTATTTTTCTTCAGTCGGTGTGTTAATATATATATATATATATATATATATATATAAAGGGTGCAAAATTGCAAGTAGTCAATTGACTTATTCTTTGGTTTAGAATAACATTGGGAATCGTGCTTGTCATTGTAGTTGCTATGATAATCAACAGGATAAGATCATGCTTAATTAATTGCTATTAATTCATACAACGAAAGCATTAACTAGATATAAAAAGTGATTTCTAATAATTAAAAGGCAACAATACCCTTGGTTGAGATTTAACCTCCTAGGATTATAATTTTGGTGCTCTAATATGTCAACCGAGTGTTTTGTCTTAATTCCTTTTCCCCCTATAGGGTAAATCAGAATTTCACCTTTTATGTCATTATAAAAAGTACTACTTATATAGAGAATGAGTAATATAGCAAGAATACAAATATTTTGTCCGGTTTTCTAAGAAGTTTGCCCGTTTAATTGGAGAATTCGTTCTCTGATTCGAATCATGGTTCATGGTTCGCTATAATATTTTCTCTCATAAAAATACACGTAAATCGAAAATGGTTCTAATTTCATGATTCTAATTTATGAACCAAACGGTTAGTAAATAGTTGGATTTTAGTAGACTTAAGATTTATCGGATTTACTTTATGACCAAATTTTAATAAAATTTGAATTTATCCAATTTATCAAATGGTCAAATTTAGAAATTCCGGATTTAAAACGTAGATCAATTTGATAAATATAACATTTATCAGATATACTTCTATGAGACCCCAACTAAATTAATGAATTATTATATTTACTATTTTTTAATTCATACTCATTTTCTCTTGCAAAAATTATTTTAAAGTTAAGAGGCCATTTACTATTTACTATGTTAAAGTTTGAAAGAAGGATTATTTACTACAATTTTTCTACTTATATTTCAATTAGACACATTCATTTCACGTGAGTTTTCTTAAGTTACTTGCTTCTGGAATAATTAATAGAGTATTATTATTTGAATTTTTGGTTCTCACCAAAAAAAAAAAAATTAAAAATTAAAAACAATTATTGAAATTTGGTGGTAGCACATGAGGCAATATTATTAAGATAGATGGTCAACCTCCAAATTCAATGAGGATAAAATAAATGCCTTAAATGCCAGTTATTAAACATGTTAAGGTATTTCAAACTAAGCATTGAAATTAATTCATCAAACTATTTAGGTTACAAAGTAAAAAAAAAAAAAATAAAGTTTGACATATTAAAGAGAGATGAAATTCCAATTGAGAAACTCTTTCGAGTGTTTGGAAGGTTGGGTGGGTGGTTAGTTGCTTTCAAAAGCATTATCTATTCATAACAAACCAATAACAATATTATTAATTAAGGGAATGTCATGGTGCTTTTGTAATATATGTATAGTTTCGAGGGTGATTAAACTAAGGACTTTTTTTGATATACTAGGTCAAGTTTTTTAACCGTTAAATTTACATAAAATTATATAAAAATCAAAACGTACGCAAATATAACAGTTAGAAAAACATGTCATATCAGTACATCAAGCATATCAGAAAATGTCTATTAAACTAAGAGTATGTTTAGTAAGAGGGAGAGATGGAGGGAGGGAGAAGGGTGGAGAGAGATCTCTAATCTCTTATTTGATTGGAGGGAGAGGGAGAGAGAGATGAGAAGTAGAGAAAGACTCTCTGCAGGTCCACCATTTTACACCCCTGCTTTAATGGAAGGATGTATACAATCTACTATTAAAAATTAGAAAATACCATTTTATCTTTAAAAAATTTAGTATAAAATAAATAAGAAGGACAAAAAAATTAGAAAATACTATTTTATCTTTAAAAAATTTAGTATAAAATAAATAAGAAAGACAAAAAAATAATTAAATAAACATTCATTAATCCATCATTTTAACTCTCTTCCCCCCCCCCCCCCCCCATAAAACAATATAAAGAATTATCATTTTTTTTTTCATCTTCTAACTTTCTCCTTTCAGAAATGAGCCTAAAAGCCATCCCATTTTACCCATTAATTGCTTTAAAATATTTTATTTGATGGAAGATGGTGGAAAAAATAGCATCACGCTCTAAAGCGCGTGTGAAAGAACTATATTAAAACTGACTTATAATTGTAATAAATTTGAGAATTATTGGAAACTCCGCTGCCCAATTCCTAAATAATAGGCACAATTCAAGTTCATGCACAAATGCCAAAATTATCCTGAAAAAAGAATTGTTACTAGCTTTTCAGATAACATAATTTTATATTAGCTTAGACCAACTATATTTAGTTCCATATTTCAAATTTTTAGATTTTGTCCGGTTTTATTACAAATATTCAAACATAAAAAATGGTACAATAACCATTTTTTTTTTTTTGTGAGAAGATAAAATAACCATTTCTGATTTCTCACATCTGGAAAAAAATAACAAATTTTTATATAAGCTTAGACAAAGAAAAAAGTCGTAATATAATATTTGAAGGTTGTGCTAGTCCCAATTATTACAAGAAAAATATTTGTATTTTCTTTTCCAAAATAAAAAAAAAGAGATACTTTTTTGCTTTGTTTTTTCTTGAATAAAACAAATTTTTTTGTTAAAAAAAAACGCTAATGATACTGATATAGGAGAAAGTATTCCACGGACTCCAGTAGCGCGTGGGAAACAAGTTTCGAAAATATCAAGGATTCAATGGTGGCTGAGGGGTGTTTAAAGAGCCAAATGCGTAAAGAAAAAAAAAGTTTGAAAAATTCTCGGATACCCGGGTTTATTTATTTATTTTAATTTTCTTTAACCTACATAGATTGAATTTAAAGCAGGATTTTCTGTCTTTAAAATTCTTCTTTTAAGAAAAAACGAGATTTTAATAGTTAGTAAACTATTGATTTTACGAAAAAGAACTGTATTTTTGTTGTTAATTAGTTTTTTTAATAATTTAATTTAATTTTACA